TGATATCATATGAACATAAATTAAAAATTTAAGTAATTTAAAAAAAAACATCGATACTATTAAAATTTGACTCAAATTCAAAGTGACTCAATTTAATTGGAAAAATAATAAACTTAATTTGATTAAAGGTATATAACTTTATTAAAATAAAGAACTTTATTAAAATAACTTTTATAAATTATACTTTTTATTTTATTTAGTTTCTTTTGTAATCAAGTATATATCTTATAAATAGATATTAAGGGTTAGGGTTAGAAACTAGGTTGTCCATGAGATGTATTCTTCTTCTCTTGTCATCAGTGAATTTTCTCCTCTTCTGCTCATGATTTTTCTTAAAAATATTTTCCACCTAAAAGTTTGATATATATTTTATTGGGCAATCATTATGCAAGTCGGTATCTTATAACATATACTTATTCTTGATGTATCCATCTAGTATCGAAATTGGGACAAAATTAAAGAAGATGCACAAAATAATGGTCTAATAGTTAAGGGTCATACGCGAAAATTATCGAATATATATAGAGGAAATTGCTGAGGCGAGTGCCTTCACAAAAGGCATTCACCTTGTTCTCGAGAAAAGCTGATAATGATTGAGGGAGATATTAACCGGCTGGCCAACCCAAGACTGAATATGTCCGTAGTGGGCTTCAATTTGAGAGAGGTAATGGATCTGTCAAGTGCTAAATATTTTGAATTATCTAAATATACTTTACTAACTATCAATAGATATCTAAATATTTTACAATGCAAAATAAGGGGTGTTTTTACCCCCAAAAAATATCCTAATATTAAAATATTCCTGATCAGACACCCAATTGATGATAGACGGATAAATCTAAATATTTAGATACATAGTTAGTAAAGTATATTTATATGGATAATTCAAAATAAAAATGATAAATTATATTCACATTATATATATTCTAAGCAATTATCAATAAAAACAAATGATGATATACGGAGAAATCTAAAAATAATGTCACAAGCAATACAATATCTAATTGTTTTGAAATAGCATAACAAAAAAAACTATTTACCTGCCCAAAAAATGTACTAATATGAGTAAAAATATTATATATTAAACATATATTTTTAAAATTTATTTAATAATGATCACAGATAGAGGAGAAAACAACTTATATAGAATATTATCGAATATGTGTTTGATTTTTTTAAAGAAATAAATAATTATATAGAATATTTAAAGAACTATTCCCCCGGTCGTTCCCGTTCACCGTGCCCCACTTATCTCCATCCCCTCCATTTCCAGCCACCCATACCTCAATTAATTAACTATAAAAAAATCAGAACGATTCGTTGCAGGGGAAGTGCTTTCTCTCTTTTTCCAAATAATATATGTCATGTCATATTGTCTCATCCATCAAATATATGGCGTTTATGGAAATAGTTCCCCAACTACTGACATAAAAATCTCAGTTGTCTGAGAGGCTCATTCAAATGGAAGTGTTTTCCCTTTTTTTAGAGAGTCTCTGCCATGTCATAGTGTCTTATCCATCAAACATAATTGACGAAAATAATTCTTCGACTCTTAATCTCTTAAACTCTTAAGTTCTCAAACTCTCAAACTCTGAAACTATCAAACTCTCAAACTTTCGAACTCTTAAATTCTTAAAATGACTCATATTTCAAATGTTATTTATTATGATAGAGAAATTCGAGAGATGAATTCGGGGTTATTTTCTGATCAGATCATCATATCCTCGTTACCTTCAAAAGAAACATCACTATTGAGGAATTAGTAACAAAAATCTCAAGGAAGGCTCGTGTTGGAAATACTAGAAGACTGTCTAAACTTTAGTACATATTTTCAACTAAAATTTTTCCTTTAACATATACAACATTCAACCTCTTCACCGATGGAGATATTGCTATGATGGTTGATACTTCTAATCAAAATTCAAACTTTATTACAAAAATGTATGTAATATTTGTTGACGTTCATGTGTTCGTGGTATGTCATTATTCTCCTACTATGGGTTGCCTCAACCAGTTCATCAAGTTCAAAGTCCAACTCAAACAATCTGTAATGATTTCACATCATTAATGGAAAATCCACCTCCTGGTACCATTTCATCAAGTTTCAGGGAGAGATATTCATCTGCCAGCTTCTTCGCCCTCAATATAGAGATGCCTTCGACACAACACTCCGTGTATAACCCATATGGCGACATCCCTTCAAGTTCTAGAGTAAGGCATCCATCTGCGAACTTGTTCGACCTAAACATCAGAATCACAGAGGGACCCTTATCTCCACCAGAAGAATCTCTTTGTGAGACAAGAGCGGATGGTGCTGAGACTGGATTATTCATTGAACCTGAATCACTGCAATTCAACATGGACTCCGATGGTGAAGCGGATGAAGTTCCTATAAATACGTTTCAATATGAACCTCCAGCACCCATGTCTGAAGCTGACTATAGAGCGATGTACGGGCCAAAATTTTCGGATATGCCTAATGTTTGAGACTATGGGAGGCACTTACGAGTCAACGATAGTGATTTATATCATGGAATGGAGTTCACATCTAAAGATGAAGCAATGATGGAAATAAAGAATTCCAATATTCGTAATTCAATTCACTCCATAGTCACCGATCTATCACCGAAAAGTATGTATGTTATTGTGTCGAATGTGATAATTGCTGCAACTGGATGCACTACAGCAAAATAGAATTTTAGCGGTGCTTTTTAGTCTTATAGCGGCGTTTTTAAGTGCCGCTAAAAGTATTTGCGGCGATAGGAAAAACGCCGCAAGAAACGCCGACAATACCAGCGCCGCTAAAGTTAGCGGCGTTTGAGAACAAAAAACACCGCAATAGGTCAATATCTATTACGGCGTTTTTTGAACAAACGCCGCAAAAGGTCGATATCTATAGCGGCGTTTTTGGAATAAACGCCGCACAAAGTTATGATATATAGCGGCGTTTCTAGAAAAAACGCCGCAAAATGTCAGATCTATAGCGGCGTTTTTGGATACAAACGCCGCAAAAGATAAGACCTATACTGGCGTTTTTAGAACAAACGCCGTAAAAGGTCATACCTATAGCGGCGTTTTTGGACACAAACGCCGCAAAAGGTCAGATATATAGCGGCATTTTTTGATACAAACGCCGCAAAAGGTCAGATCTATAGCGGCGTTTTTGGACACAAACGTCGCAAAAGGTCGGATATATAGCGGCGTTTTTGGATACAAACGCCGCTAATTACCATTCTTTAGCTAAGATTAATTGATATTTTGCATATTTTATTTTTGTTATACATCACCTAAATTCAATATCATGTAATTTTATATAAATTTTAACAACAAAATAAATTAAAATTTATAAACATTAAAATTAAATGTAATATAGCTTTGATGTTCATTACATCGAAAATATTGAGTTCAAGCCCACATATGGAAAGAAAAATAAATTAGTATGCATATAATATAAGCTAGAAATGCCATTTGGCTGGATTCCTGGCCTAAAAGCTATTCCAAATTTTCTTGGAGATTCAACTTCTGCAACTCCTCCCATTTTTCTTTGTCTGCAACCATTTTCAAGGCCATTTTCCGCACTGTTCCTGTGACAAGAAATGCTGCTTTAAGATTGGCACAACCTTCATAGCAAGCTCTACTTTACAAGAAAGGAAACCATCTACATCAATATCATTTATAAGAATTAGATCAATATTCAAATACAGTATAAGATGAAACAAATAACTTGTCTCCATAATTGATCATTTTAAACAGCATCAACCAGATCACCTTCACCAAAAGTAATATGTGGAAGTTAATAAAATTTTTAAACTAACATAAAAAAGGAATATATGGTTGTACCAAGCAGAAACAAAAACGTGGAAGCCAAGGACCTGCTAGTCTTTTACCACAATAGTGTTACTCCAACTCATTATACGACAAAATTACACCCAAAATCTCCATACTACTGCATTCACACTTTTGCAGAGAAAGAATTTAAAACAACCTCCGGGTTAAGATTATTTTCTTATTTTGACATACTGCCTGACCTAGTACCTCTTGGTAAGCCGGCCCTATTGCTAATTGCTAAATGAGCTTGATAGTACTTAGTTGCCAATGGTCTAATCCAGATAAATTGCTCATCTAAATTCTAACAAAACCCCAAATGCCACACCCATGTTTTAATAATAGTAACCAGTTTAAACAAGGAAAAAACGCTAATAGGCATTTGGTAAAATTAATATCATAGAGGACGTTGATCAATATCATACCATCGCTAGAAGAGAAAGCCTTGCATGACTTTTGCAGATAGTCTCCGACTGAATGCTAGAGATGACATCCCTGCACATAAGAAAAGCTGTCAGGGGAAAGAAGTGCCAAGGAGCGGTAAACTGATCTAAAGAACAAAAAAAGCACGGGCATTAGAATTTCCTTTCTAATTTCCCTGCCTAATATAGTTTCTGGATAAACAAAAATGAGGTGGACTAATTAACACTGAAATAGACCTTCTGGTAATGATAGATATGCTAATCACCCTACATAAATCATATCACTCCTGCAGTTCACTCATATCCTCACCGTGATAAGAAATGACAAACAAGTGACAGTACAATTCCAAAAATTGATGTGGGTTACAAAAGTTCACTACCAACTAACCTTTTCTTTGTCAAGCCAGTAGAAGAGCCTGAAATAATGAAGAAATAATTTCAATTAATAACAACGACAATCAACAGAATTTTACCAAAATGAGAACAAAACAAAGCCAAAGATTTACCTGGTAGAACAAGATGAGAGAAGTTGCGGACATGGACAATTCCCCTCAGTTGAAGAAACATAATCTGTTCAAACACTTAAATTTAATTCTCGTGAGAATGGTTACCAATGTATGATAAAAATCCAAACATCTTCTACATAAATTAAAGGTTTAATAGCAACAAATAACGACATCAATAAAAATTCAAGAGAAACCGAACCACTAGCATGGTTATTGAATCATATTCAATTTCAACTGAACTATTTACCTCTTTTCCAACATTTGAAGACACTCTAGATGCTGAAACGCTCGGCCGAATCACCTGCAAGGACTTCCCTAATACCTATAAAAGAAATGGAAAAAATAATTCAATAAAATCCAAGTGCTTTATCCTTTAGCTGAACAAACCACAATTAAAATAAAAAGAGGTTAACAGTTCTAACTGAAGCTGATGAACCTCCGGTCGCAACTTTTCTCCTTAAAGCGCCCAACATCACCACTGTCCAGAAGCTAAACGTAAAACTCAATAATCTAAAGGAGAAATCAAATAATAATTTATAACATAATAGATAGTCAGATATAACTGCGTGGATCTGAATCTAAACATTGAATACAAATGAAAAGGGCAATAATGAGAGGCGAAGAAAAAATTATATATGGAAGAGAGGTTTAACTTAAACCTGATTTCTGCAGACAAATATAAGAGTCCTCTCGAATACACTGTGATTTGCTAAAGAAAAAAGAAAATATCTAACAAGTTTTTTTTTTGGTTTCTTTCTTCGACAGTGAGGGAGAGAAACAATGAATATCATGCCAAATACCTCGCGATTAACAACAAAAATGGGGCAATGTTTTTCGATAACGTCATGCCAAACAGTTCTAGACTGAAGACAACTTTGCATTTGCAACCTTTTTTGTAGTGAGAATTTGTTTGAACGAAGCGTTGAGAAGAAGAGCCCCCCATTGGAGAAGAAGCAGCAGATGGGTTTGAGTAAACGGCGGGAATGAAAATATAGGTGAAGGGAAAAAAATGAAAAAGGGTTAAAGGGGTCTTAAAACTGTAAATTTGCGGTACAAACGCCACTAAAGTACGAGTCTTTTGCGGTGTTTTTATAAAAACACCACTAAAGTACAAGTCTATAGCGACGTTTGTAAACAAAAACGCCACTAAAGTACGAGTCTATAGCGGCGTTTGTAAACAAAAACGCCACTAAAGTAAGAGTTATAGCAGCGTTTTTATAAAAACACCAGTAAAGTATGAGTTATAGCAGCGCTTTTATAAAAACGCCACTAAAGTACGAGTCTTTAGCGGCGTTTGTATAAAAACGCCCCTAAAGAACGATTCTATACCGGCATTTGTGTAAAAACGCCACTACAATATTAATCTTTAGCAGCGTTTGTATACAAACGCCACTAAAGTAAGATCTTTTGCGGCGTTTGTATACAAACGCCTCTAAAGTTAGGTTTTTTGCGGCGTTTGTTCAAAAAACGCCGCTAAAAATGCCGCTATAAACCCATTTTGCTGTAGTGATGGTTCGTGTTTTAAAGAGGAAGAAAAAGAATGACATATGAGAACTAACAAAATAAAGTGGTCCTCATACATGTTGTGCACGATAGATCCACCAGGACTATCGAAACTTGGACTCCAACGTAATTTACCAAGCCATCATGCCCATGGTCAAAGAAAGCTTTGACATAGCTATTGGAGTGTTGATTTTTGTAATACAATCTCGATATAGGTACACCTTCTCCTACAAAAAAAATGGAAGGCAAAACATAATGCCATTGTAAAACTACACGATGAGTGGGATGCATCTTACAATGAACTACCCAGCTAGTTTAACCTGCTGGGAAAACTGAATCCTGGGACAATAGTTGAGTTAGAAACTCACCATGCTTTGAAGACTGAATTCAAAGGGTCATTTATATAGGGGATGGGGTGGGCATGAAATGGTGGCAGGAAAGCTAGGTGGGAACGACCGGGGGGGAAGGCGCACTACGTTGAACGTGTCTTTGTGGGGTGGCTGACACATAGCGAAGGCGCGATCCACCCAATGCACCTTGGTGGGTTTTTTGTAAATGGGTATTGGTTCGATCATATTTGGTGCAATGGGTGTCTGATTGGGACTATTTTAATATTATGATGAATTTTCGGTAAAAAAACTAAAATGAAGACATCATTGCACTTAAAAAATAATGAAATAAGATAGGTGGGGTTTATTTAGGGATATGAAGTACTTTTCTATTGATGTTATGCTTTTTATCTGACTTTGAATTTTTCTTCTCGTATATTCATTCTTGCATATAACAACGATAACACACGTATATGAATTTTATCTTTAATCATGAACATGTTTAAAAGAATATATATGTAACACCCCTAAATCGATGCGGGTGACCCGATCCGATCCGATGTGTCACTTAGGGTCACCGGAGCGACCCACTGTAAAAATCTCAGAAAATTAACGTTTTTATTAAAACATGTAAAATCATAAAATCATTTATAAATACGAAAGTAAAATTTACATTATTCAGAAATAAAATAGATTTCCATACTTATATATAAAAATAAAATACAACCTACATGCCCCCTAATCACATGTATCATACTCTATAATTAACGCCAGAAGAACTCCCCTACTGAAGTCGATAACTGCGCTGATACGATTCTTTTAACCTAAAATGGAGAGTGACAGTGAGCTTTGGAAAGCTCAATAATATAGAACTACCTAATGATGTAGAAGAATATGCAGATAACATATAATTATATGTTTCCTTATTGATTCATACATCTATAAATTTTTAGGCTGAGTTGAGGTCCCATTGATATCTCAGGTAGTAACAGACATTAAGTTTCCCGTTCATAGGGAAATATTTCGGATGACTGGGTTCAGGAGATCATGATAGGGTATCTACTATGTTCCCACAAAACCATTTAAAACATGTATTTAAAAACCATAATAGTCCCTCCAACCGAATGACATATGTAACTCCCCAGAACTGCATAACCTAAGGGGGCACCTTGGGGCCAGAAAGCTTACCCAAGAAAGTTCTTGGGGCCACGGAGGCCTACCCAAGAAAGATCTTGGGGGCCGTATAGCCTACCCAAGGGTCACCTTAGGTCCGTAAAGAATTATCAGTCGGTGCAGAACCTATAAAAGGAATTAATCGCATCAACTAAACCTGCGAGAGCCTTCATACCAGATCCCAGAATACCCCAAATAAAACATTTTCAGTCAGAAATCAGAGAAAACATCCTTATGATAAGGGAACACACTAGAGGTTTCAGATATTATTCAGAGATATTGGATAATATTATCGGGCAGAGAAACACGGATCTTCAGTATACTGATAGAATACCGGAAGTTAGAATCACTATCGGAATAGTTCATTAGTTGACAGAATCATCAGTTATTCAGAATGTGATGTATCAGGATCATATTGTATTTGAACATTTTTCAGAGGCATTAAGAAATCATAAGGGTATTGCGTCCTTTGTATTTGAGTTACTTATATTTTCATTTATGTCCAGAGTGATTCGAGCTGATAAGGGAGAACAAAGATTCAAGGCATTTACCATCTATGTTGATTGATCAGATTATCGAACAACTCCTAGAATTGATACTTGTCGATTGGTTAATTCATTGCCCTTTCAGGGTATTCAATCCTTCATGGGCTTGGTGATATTATTGGGTCATTTGTATTCTAGGGGTATTTTGGTTATATTACAGATCCAGAATATTGTAATCTTTTCCTTCTATCCAATCTTATTATTTAATTCAAACTTACAACCTATTTCAGTCCTTTCGAACGATTCTGATAAAAGAGCACCCTCGATAAATTATTCTTCAAGTATTTACTCATAACTCAGAGATTTTCGGGTCAATTGCCTTCTCAAATGTTACGAACGAATTATCAGGAATTTTCTGTACCAAAGTAGGATCTTAACAATTAAATCAGTAATTTATCGGGTTAGGTATGAATTCTCATGGTACTTTCTCATTCATGGTCAACTCAGACTATTTTTATCTCTCAATGGCATTTTTGTAATTTCTTAACCAGGTAATTTCGGTATTAGAACTCTTAACAAGGATAAAAAGAATTTAGAGATCCTAGGGTTAATTTATTTTCCAAATAATCTTTTAACTCGAAATTATTCCTTATCAAACTTCTAATTTCTAATACAAACCATCATAATTTTATTTAGTTACCGACTTTTTACCGCATTCGGATCGATTGTAGGAATTATTTAACTACCCATATGAGACCAAACATTTTCATTCATGCATTTACCAATACCAACATGTTCCATAAAGCATGAAAATGTAGTAATGTATTACCCTGATTTTTGTGCCATATCGATCGACCAATTAATCTCCATTCTGTCACTCTCAAACTTGAAATCAACTTCTAATAATTCCTCAAATACATAACAACAGAAATTTAATCAAAATCAGGACGTCGGAAAACATCAAAATCAGGTGATTAATCAGTGAAAAACAACTTATTATATTCGAATTTGGCGAAACAGACCTCAAAAACGGAATCAGGACGTCGAAAAACATCAGAATAGGTGTACCCGAAAAAAGTTAACGGTCAGTCAACGACCTGTTAACGGCGGTCAATGATCACGATCAACTAGGCTCGGTCAGCTCGATCATGTGGCTAGGCTCGGCTCAGACCGGTCCAGCTGGTCAGCATGTTCCCCAGGCTGCCAGACGAAACCCATGCGTAAGGGTTGGCACGTGCGGTGGCTCTGATCATCGGACATTGACGAAAATTTCCAAATTTTTAGATCGACTCCCCGGGAGTCTCGTGCAAGTGTTATTTTTCAATGAAACATAACGGATTGCAGAATTTTAAAACATACCAACTTCTCCAACGGTGGTCGGCGAGTGACAATGTCAGAACAACAACAGCGCGACGATTTCGGTCGGGTTTTGAGCGCACGATGATGGTGAGTCTAGTGGAGGCGGAGCTGAGGTGAAACAACATTGGACGTGACCTGATTCGACGAATATACACTCGACGACGGATGGTTTTCGAAGGGACTTTTCGATGAGTTTCACGTTGAACGACGACGTCACTCGACGGGCTGAAGGTCGGGTTATGATCACCGTTCAACGGTGAGTCGATAGGTGGCGGTGACTCGAGCTAGGATGACCAGACGATGATAGAATATGACAGTAAAAGAGGGTTGACTGGGAAGGAAATTGGGGTAAGCTTATGGAGAAAACTATATTATTCGGGGAGGAGATTTTATTTTTCAACATCTAACAAAAATGAGTAAATTCAGGACGAATCCCTGAATTGAATTTCCTGCACATTTTAAAACTGACTATAAGTTTCAAAAACTTATAATTTAACCCCTAAATTAGGGTGTGATAATATAATTGTTATATATATATATAATTCTAATAAGCCAATGCTTGGATCTAGATGAGTGCCTATAATAAGAAGAAGAAGAATAAAAATATACCAATGCATCTTCCATTTTAGCGTTATTGTTATCAAACAAATGTTAAATAGTATTGGTTCCAATGAAAAAGACAAGTGACAGATCATGTATTGCTGGCAGTAAACAAGTCTACATGTGGCAAAATCATGTAGGTGCAGCTCACAAATCAAATCAAGGGTATGGAAAACGATTTAGAGAGCAAAATCCCACCAAATATTGGGATTTGGGTTTAGATTTCTGAAC